GCCACACTTCTATTGCTGCCCACAGATACTACTTACCAGCTAAGTGCTATTTCTTATTTTTATAACGTTTTTTCTGTTGTTTTGTTCGCTGACGAAGGCTTTCTGCCGACACGTTCGCTGTTTTGTTACGTTTAATTTTTCAGGTTTAACCATACTCTGTTTTACTCATTTTATTTTGACTTGTTTTTGTAGCCAAGAAAATGTGCCAAACATCCAGCTCTGACAAATTAACATAAGAAAAAAAATGGGTGTGCCAAAAGATTTTTAATTATTAAAACTTTTTTTCTATTTTCATTTTTATAATTTTTTTTGGTAAAAATATTCATTTTCCGCTTATTGAATGTTTATCCTGATCGTATCGCAATCTTGATCGCATCGCAATCTTACCTGTGATTTGAGTTTTTGCCCGCCGAGCGATTGCGTTTGACAGCCCTGATCTAGGGTGATAATCAAGTCAACTAGGGTGATAGTCAAGTCATCTAGGGCGATAGTCAGGTCAACTAGGATGATAGTCAAGCCCTCTAGGGCAATGGTCAGGTCAACTAGGGTGATAGTCACGTTATCTAGGGCTATAGTCAGGTCAACTAGGGTGATAGTCAAGCCCTCTAGGGCAATAATCTGGTCAACTAGGGTGATTGTCAAGTCAACAAGGGTGATAGTCAGGTCAACCAGGACTACAGTCAAGTCAACTAGGGTGATAGTCAAGTCATCTAGGGCGATAGTCAGCTAGGGCGATAGGCAGGTCAACTAGGGTGATAGTCAAGCCCTCTAGGGCAATAGTCAAGTCATCTAGGGCGATAGTCAGGTCAACTAGGATGATAGTCAAGCCCTCTAGGGCAATGGTAAGGTCAACTAGGGTGATAGTCAAGTTATCTAGGGCTATAGTCAGGTCAACTAGGGTGATAGTCAAGCCCTCTAGGGCAATAATCATGTCAACTAGGGTGATTGTCAAGTCAACAAGGGTGATAGTCAGTTCAACCAGGACTACAGTCAAGTCAACTAGGGTGATAGTCAAGTCATCTAGGGCGATAGTCAGCTAGGGCGATAGGCAGGTCAACTAGGGTGATAGTCAAGCCCTCTAGGGCAATAGTCAAGTCATCTAGGGCGATAGTCCGGTCAACTAGGGTGATAGTCAAGCCCTCTAGGGCAATGGTCAGGTAAACTAGGGTGATAGTCAAGTCATCTAGGGCGATAGTCAGGTCAACTAGGGTGATAATCAAGTCAACAAGGGCGATAGTCAGGTCAACCAGGATTACAGTCAAGTCAACTAGGGCGATAGTAAGGTCAACTAGGGATAAAGTCAGGTTAACTAAGCTGATAGTCAAACAAACTCGGCTGATAGTATAGCCAAATAGGGTGATTGTAAAGTAAACTAGGGTGATAGTTAGCTCAACTAGTGTGATAGTCAAGTCATCTAGAGCCATAGTTAGGTCGACTAGGGTAATAGCTAGGTCAACTAGGGTGATAGTCAAGCCCTCTAGGGCAATACTTAGGGTAACTAGGGTGATAGTCAAATCAACTAGGGTAAAAGTCAAGTCAACTAGGGTGATAGTCAGATCAACTATGGTGATCGTCCAGTCATCTAGGGCGATAGGTCAACTATAG